ATTCCCGATAAACCAACCCGTTTCCCATAGTGTCAGGCATCCACCATGCCGGTAGATGTTGGTTCGAGAGCACAAACATTCGGCCTAGAGCCTAACTACCCCTGCTGTACTGTTAACCAACATCAAGGATATCCCAAATTCGTGTCCGCTATGTTTGTGCGGAAAGGGGAGGATGGCATTGGACAGGCGCTGCTTGGACCAGCTGAGGTACGAACCACAACAAGCTCAGGGACCAAAGTTAATATCAACTGTGAAACCGCCTATCCATTCGACAACGCACTGTCCTACAAAATCGACGCGGGAGGACCATTTACATTATCCTTCAGGGTGCCTTCGTGGGCTGACAATGCCAAGTCCTTGGTCTCCGTCGACAGCGCTGGAGGCACTTCCTTGAAGCCCAGCCCTGCGACAGGGATGCACGATGTCTCCATAACACAAGGGAAACATGTAGTCACCGTCTCGTTCGCTACTGAAATCCGCGTGGAGAAGCGTGCCCGCAACACCGTCGCTGTTTACTATGGAGCGCTTCTCTACGCCGTCCCGATCGACGCACGCGTCACCTATGTCAAGAGCAATTACCCTGGCGCACCTGATAGTGCGAGAGAATACACGATGACGCCGTCCTCGAAATGGGCGCTGGCGATTGATCCATCGACGCTCCGCTTCAATGCTCTGGCCGCTCGCGGTGACGACGGTGCAGCAACACCCAACAACGAAAATCAGCTTCCAAACCCGCTCTGGGCGGAAAAAGCGACATCGACTTCAATTTCGGCGCGGGCTTGTGAGATTAAGTGGGAGTTGACGGAGCCGAAGGGGGAAGGCTATGCGCCGGACCCGCCACGAGAATCGGAGCGGGAGTGTATTGGGAAGCCATTCGAGGTTAAATTAATGCCGTATGGGAGTGCCAGGTTGCATATGGCGGAACTCCCAACGGTTAAGTTGGCGTAGAATTGGGCTGGACTTGCATTTCGCTTTCGTTGTTTTGTGATGATTTTGGCTCTGGGTTTTGACATGGTGGATACTTTTGTTCTTATCAGATATTAAATAGAAAACGTCATAACACTACACAGTTAGCTACCCATGGGATATATATGAATATATAGGTGGTTATGTGAATCAGCCTGGCTATCTATATACTTCTGGCTTCAAAACTTCTGATCAAGAGCTCAGAGTTTTGCCAAGAAAATTGTGAACCGTGAACCATACTCGACTTTGCCATCTACCCTTTCAACACAGGGCCAGAGATACAATTGAGTGTTAGATCCAAGGTTGGTTACTGAGAAATCTGAGAAACAACAACCACCGCCCCCTATACCCATTGTATGTGGCACAGCGGCTTAAACAGTGGCGTGCAATAGTCATGTCCAGAAACCCCGTTGGCACGTGAAAACTGGCATCGACGGCGGCCACGGAACAACCTGGTCCCGACCCCTGACCCAAAAAAGGATTCCTATGAGGATCCATGGATACTTCATCTCTGGCATCGGAGAAGAATTCAGCGAAGAAAAGCAAGAAGAAATGGTGCCTCGTCCGCTCCATTCTTTGTAGGAATCCGCCAACCCTCTTATCGCCAATCACTTCTTCCTTTGCCTCTCCCCGCCGCCGTGTCACCCGCGCCTGCCCCTACCTACCCCTTGTACCGTGTCTTTGGGGGAAGGGTTGACCTGAGCACCCAAAATAAATAAATAATCGCCCGAGAGAGTGGAGAAAAAGAAAGAAAAGAAAAAAAAAAGTATAAGCAAGGCCAAGAGGCGCCGGGGAATCCAAGCCGTTGGCGGATTGTGACGAGAAGGTCAACGCCTCAAACTCAGCCATTTCTCGGCTCTTTTCATCCTCGTGCCTCATTCTCCCATTTCCCTTTCTTAAATAGGTCTCGATGTCGCGGCCGCGGAAGTCCAGTAATCTCGGAGCAGATATCAGAGGAGACACTGGAGCTCCTGCGATATCCACTATGAATTCTCATTCGCCATCCCCTGAAGCTCCGTCGGTATGTTCTCTCTACCACATAACCTACTGCTCCTCCACATATACTCCGTTTCTTCCCAGCGCTTTTTTTCAGAAATCGAATTTCTCAGTTCTATCCGCTAACGTTTGATTCTGTGCTTCTCATCCGATGGTAGGTACGGCACACACAGCGTGGAGCGTCTGAAAGGAGCGGAAAATCACACTCCAAGCGGCGACGGGCGCGGTCATTCTTCCGGCGATGGAAAGATACCTCTCTCAAACATACGTGGCTAACACCACTTATCCTATTGCTCATTATCCTCGCCGCATACTCAGTGAACCCAACAGAATCCAACCCAGTCCACAGTGCTATCTTCCTCTCATACCCTAACCCCCCTGAAACTCCTGGCGGCCCCATCATGTACGGAAAGGGCAAGAAAGATCTCGCCTTCGTCGGTTTCTACACAATTGTTCTCTCCTTCACCCGCGAATTCATCATGCAACGAATAATACGACCGTGGGGCGTATACTGTGGGATCAAGAGCAAGGCTAAAATGGCCCGGTTTATGGAACAGGTGTACACGGCGATCTACTTTGCTGTGTTCGGGCCCTTTGGGCTCTACGTCATGAGCAAAACGGATATCTGGTACTTTAACACGACACCAATGTTTGAAGGGTTCCCGCACAGGCTGCATACAGCGGACTTCAAGGCTTATTACTTGCTCGAGGCTAGTTACTGGGCGCAACAGGCAATCGTGCTGCTTCTGCTGCTGGAGAAACCCAGGAAGGATTTCAAGGAACTAGTCGCGCATCATATTATTACCCTGGCGCTTATTGGGCTCAGTTACCGCTTTCATTTCACCTACATTGGTCTTGCGGTTTATATCACTCATGATATTTCGGACTTCTTCCTTGCGGTATGCCGTTAATCCCTTCGTGTTCGTATTCGTTCGCAGCTATTAAAGCTAACTTCTTGATGACTCTCAGACCTCCAAAACTCTCAATTACCTGGACTCCGTCCTCATCGGTCCATACTTCATTACGTTTATAGGCGTCTGGATATACATGCGCCATTACCTTAATCTCCGCATCCTCTGGGCAGTTCTTACGGAATTCCAAACCGTCGGTCCCTTTGAACTCAATTGGGAAACCCAACAGTACAAATGTCGTCTCAGCCAAGTTATCACTTTTGGCCTGCTCAGCGCACTACAAGCCGTCAACCTGTTATGGCTGTTCCTGATCCTCCGCATTGCAAAGAACTACGTCTTGAGCGACGTGAGGAAGGACGAGCGGAGTGAGGACGAAGAAGAAGAGGAGCAGGAAGAGGATCAGCAGCCCACGCTTACCAAAGATGCTCAAGTTTGCGGCAATGCTGGGACTGGGACTGGAGCCATTGGCTCTGCGAACAATGGTAGCGCGGATGCAACGCATGTTACGAGGAGGACAGCCAAGACTAAGGAAAACGATGCTGTCACGGGCCCGAGAGCTATAGTTGATGGAGCTACGACGGTTGACTCTGAATCGGCCAAGCCGGTGCTGGACTACAACAATTAACTTGGTTGTGAGATGGCTGCGCTACCTTTTGTTCGTCCTCTTTGGATTGTTGATGACCAAATTGAAGGTGTCAAGAGGTTTTCAGTGCTCTACCAGTGCCACCTATCAATCTCTCATAGGCAATTGTCGAAGAAATTTTTTTATGGGGGTGCAATCCCATTATGGAAAATAAGATGATTGCCATGGTATGGGTATTAAGCATATATGCTTTCCCCAGGTATGATCTGTTGTATGCAGGAAAAGAGAACAATAAGAGAACCCCCTGGCTAAGAAAATCATCGTTTTTGGCATTTTCTCTCCCTTTCTCCATCTTCCTCTTGAGCATCACAATTGCATTGGCAGATACACATGTACAGTACATATATGTACTTTTCTTTTCTCCTTTGCCTTTTTTTTCCTTCCCCTTTTCATAAAACCCATACATAACTTCTTAATGTCTGTTTATTTTCCCCGTGAGAAGAGAAATGGAGGGTGGGATGGAGGTTTTGTCTGATCGGATATCATTAATTAAGTTTATTAATCGATCTTGAATCCCCTATCCATTGTCCCGTGCCCCTTTTGAGATGGTTTCTGTCCTGCTTTTGTGTCCCTACTTTGTGTAATACCCCAACCCCACGTCCTTGATGTTCTTGTTTGAAGGGTCGTGTGCATCGGATAGAGATTCATGGATGATTCATGGATGGATGGATGGATGATAAGCCATGAGCATGATGTGATGGTATGTACAGTACATGAACGATTATCAAGTTTTTTTTTTTTTTTTTTTTTTTTCTTTCAAATGGGCGTGATGGGGTGTTCATGTGTTGATCTTCCCCGCTGCTGTGTCAGTTTTCCATGTTTCTTCTGTTTATATCTTTTCTTCCTGCGCTCTAATATCATATATTTAATTTAATTTAATTTTTATTTTTTGTCAGGATAGCCAAGGGAGCAGCTTCTCTTATCTCCAAGGCACGTTTTTCTCAATTTGACCGAGAAAAATCCAAAAGCGGGAACAGAGGACTTTACACACTCTCTCTACCGGCTAATGTATATCTATGGATAATTTTGGGTCTGCCAGGGTGGGTCAGGACTATAACCCACTGCACTGCAGATGAACGGATGAAAACTTCATATATCACTACTCCCCCCCCCCCCCCCCTCCATAAAATAAAGGAAAAGAAGAGAAAAGTGAAAAAAGTGGAACAAATGACTGCCACAAAATGGGCGACCAGCCTGAAAAAATGTTTTCCTGGCTGAAAATTGGCGCCATGTACCGAGATATTTCATTCAGTATTTTTGCATATCGCTATCATTTCAGAGCGCGGTTTTGAGTCCAAGTCCAAAAAAAAAAAAAATTTTTTTTTCTTTCTTGTTTTTTAAGCAGTATCTGTACATAAAAATACATTTACATGACTCAAAATATTATTGTCTCCCCACGCTTCTCGTCCGCACGTTCCTCTCTTTTCCACAAGCCAAGTTCCTCCCAACCCGGGTCCCCATGGTGTGGTTTCTTAGCTTGTTTTCTATAGTACGAGTAGTTTATTTTGCGGCCGAAGTGTCCGCGCCGGAAGCGTGGGAGGGTTTTGCCTCGTCCTTTTCAGGACGTTTCTGTGTGGGGGTTTCCTTTTCAGCGGTCTCGGAGGAAAAGTCAACTAGGTTTGCCAGGTTGAAGTGTGTTGTTTGTGTGGAAGAAGGGGTGGAGGATAGGGTGGAGGAGAGAGTGGCATTGACATGGGATGATGTAGCGCTAGGGTGGAGAAACACCTTAAATTAAACCCGTACGATGGGGGATTGGGATTAGGTTAGGGTTAGGGCCAATGATGCGCAACGGTTCAAAGAATTGTAGAAAAATTACTGGTGATATTCAACACACCTCTTTCTTCTCCGACTCCATCTTTTTTGCGGAGGCATCTTCAGCATCCTTCGTAGACCCAGAAGCAGAGGTTTCCTCTAAAGCTTCCTTCGCCTCCCCCTGGCCACCGCGTACGGATTGGTCTGATTCCTTTGGTGAGGGGGCAGAGTCACGTTCTGGTTCGGTCTTGTCCTTTTCTTCCTCTTCTTCAACTTCACTTGCAGCCTGCTTCTCTGATATATGTACCTCTTCGGTGTCCTTGTGAGTCGGCATGTGTAGTTCAGAGTGGGTGGGTTTTTTGGGACCATCGGCAAGCAGGAAGCTGGCGGCTGGCACTGTGAATACGAGAGAGCCAATTATCCTATAATAACAACAAATTCCGCGTGGCACATAGTGAGTATTTACCAAACAGTGTAAAATAAATTAAAGAGGATTGTTCAATTGGGTGGAAAAAACCAAAACCATTCAATCATAAAGAATGTATAGTACCTTTAGGACATACATACCATGGCAAGTCACTGCTTTTCTTAGATTCACCACCGCCAGACGCATATGTTCTTCTCGTGGCCTGTTGCCAAACCCTGGAAGAAGCTCGCGAGCCGGCTATTCTCGTGGACTGCCGGGCCGTGAACAGCGTGCGGAAGAATGTGGAGCGAGGGAGGACCATGATGGGCAATTGGAGGAAGGGCTTCGCTGGAGTCCTTCAGCTGCAATTGAGGCACAATTGGGGATGTAATTAATTGCAATTGCGAGATTCCGGGAATGATGCGAGTAACACAGGTGCAGTGAGAAACAGAAGTTGCTGGAGATGGAGTTGGCGGGAAAATGGTCGCAAATCTTGGTTATTTTTGCGCTAGCTCGTTAGCTGCGGGAGTTGAGGAGAACACGTGACAGGAAGCACAATGTGGAGGAGGTTGAAGAAACCAAAGACATGAGAATATGTCTCTGCTGGACGGGAGAGGATAGGAGATCATGTGAGAATCTGAATAGGAATAGGATGTGGATGCAATACCTCAATTAATCGTGTTTCGTCAATTATACGAAGTGGTAGCTACCAGATACCGGTTGGATTCTTCTGTAAGCCGCTCTCAGCCTCTGGTGGGGAATGGTTGATCTCTATAGAAACTACTTTCGCTCCGACAATAACATCACATACTCCTAGACACACAGAGAGAAGATTTCTTGTCAACGCTCCCGCCCATCGTCTTGCTGTCTCTCTGGTCCCGTCACCAGTCTCTGACGACCAAGCCATACCGTTCGTTTAGCGCTGTGTTGATTGACATTATGTTGGATTGATATCTAGCTTCTGTTGCCTAATACAATCCATCGCAACCCTCGATCTGTATGCCAGTCACCCTGCTCTAATTCTGGATCCATATTCAATTCTAAATCACTCGTGTTGCAACTATTCTAATACATTTCTTGACAGACAGCATAGTATACTTCGCAACTCAAGAGCATCTTCTTCTCCAGCCCCGCCTAAGAACACCTACCCCGCTATCCTTTTATTGCATGGGATTACAATATCATGGCATATGACAGGCAGGCGACTCAGCAGAGCTTAAACTCTCTGCTGTCAAAACTGACAGATCCTGACCCGGATATCCGCTACATGTCCCTCAACGACCTGTTGACCACCCTCGAACAAGCCAACTCCGCGTACCTGGCGCAAGATGTTCATTCTTGTTCAAAGCTAGTAGAGGGTCTTCTCAAAGCCCTCGAGGACCCACATGGCGAAGTGCAAAACCAGGCTTTGAAATGGTATGTTTAGCTGAACTAGAAAGAGAAGAAAGAAAGAACAAAACTTCCTGTACGCCATTTCGTTGGGAGTGCAGCTTTCAGGACTAAACGATATACTCCTACAGTTTGAAGCCGCTTGTAACTCGCCTTCCTCCGGAAATAGTTACTCCCTTAATCGATAAACTCACTCATATGACGGCCTCCGAGACAATTGATACCTCCGTTCCCAATACCGCACTGAGAATCATCTTGGCAGCTTTGCCTCGTCCTGACCCCAGCGCCCCTCTTTCTCGAGAATCTCAAGCAGGGTGTATGGCAGTGTCCAAGGTTTTGATTCCAAGACTTGTCGGGGGAACCGTTACGGCCAATGGACAATCTAAAGTAAATGGGATGTTGACAAATGATCCAGAAAAGGGATACAGCAGCGAAGCCCTCGATGTGTTGATCGAAGTGGTAAGGCATTTTGGCCCGATGTTGAACGAGCGCGAGTTGGCTTCTCTGGAGGAGACGGTGATGGCTATTGTTGAAAATGACAACGCTGGAACTGTAGTTATAAAACGGGCTTTAACAGCCGTCTCGGCTCTACTAGCCCACTTCTCAGATGCGCAGTTAAGCACGTTCGTTTCCACACTGATAGAAAGCTTTCGATCACCACACCTTACATCCACCCGCCGTCGGCATCTCATTGGGACAATAGCAGCGTTGGCTAGGTCAATCCCTTCTAAATTTGGCCCTTATCTGAGGACGTTGGCCCCTTTTGTGCTCTCAGCCGTCAGCGAACAGGAATTAAGTGAAATGCGAGACGATGACTCGGATACAGGCGACCACGATTCGGAAGAAGATGAATTACGCGAAACAGCCCTGGCGACGTTGGAGACTTTACTTGGATCTTGTACCAGTGAAATGCAACTTTATCTATCCGATTCGATAAAGGCAGCGTTGCGGTATCTCAAGTACGATCCCAATGTAGCGGAGGTCGAAGATGAGGAAATGGGTGGGACGCAAGATGAGGGTAGCGATGATGGGGCGACTGAGGAGCCCGAAGATGACAATGATGCATTTGATGATTTTGAAGAGGAAGAGGGATACAGTGATATAGATGATATGAGTTGGAAAGTCCGCAGATGCGCTGCTAAGGTTTTATATACAATCATCGCAACTCAGCAGAATAATCCGAAGGCTCTTGAAGATGACCCTATATATCAGACAATCGCACCTGCTCTACTTGCGAGGTTCACTAAAGAAAGGGAGGAATCCGTCAAACTTGAAGCAGTTGCTAGCATGAACTGTCTTGTCAGGAAAACTGGAGAGATATCAGCGGTGATCAATCCTGACATACATCTCACCAATGAATTTGGGAGGGGGAGAACCTCTAGAAAGAGAAGAAGACAGGACAGTGATGCTAATCTGTTTGATTTGGAGTCGGAGGTCGCATCTTCACTTGCCATGAGTTCCCCAATTACCACAGGCTCAATTCCAAGTTCGGGTCCACAGGCAGAGATTGCAAAGTTGACACCCAGTATAATTCAGAATATTGTCAAGTTATGGAAGCGGGCGTCTATACCATTGAAACAGGCCGCGATTTCGTTATTGAAAAGTCTAGCCCTTGTTCGGTACGGTGGACTTTCCGAATTCCTACAGCAAATCGAAGACCCGATCGCAGACGCTTTAAAGACCTCTGCTATGTCATCAGGCTTCTCCGTCTCTGCTGGTACAACATCCGTCAGCTCTAGCAGCTTGCAGATAGAAACTCTTAGTCTGATTGCCGCGATTTCGGAAACGCATGCATCCAATGCGCTCCTACCGTTCCTCATTGCCCTAATCCCTGGAGTTGTAAGTGCTGTGAACGACAAGAATTACAGGGTTGCAAGTGAGGCGCTTGGAGCAGTGGAGCAAATCGAGAAGGCCTTGACACCACCCCGCGTGTCTGCAACTGAACATGACCTTGGGCCACAGTTAGAAAAGCTATTCTACATAATAGTTAATAGGATTGCGGACAACAGTTCTGATCTGGAAGTTCGTCAGCGAGCGATCCACGTCCTTGGAGTATTGCTGGGCCGCACTTCCGGAGCCCCGAAGTTCATTTCTCCCGTTCAACGGGCTGCGGGGTTGACGCTGCTAGTCGATCGCCTGCGAAACGAAACAACAAGGCTTGCAACAGCTCGTGCCATCGATGATATTGCTCTGCTTGCTAGTGGCCCGGATGATGTCGCATTTCCTTGGGTCCGTGACGTAACATTAGAGCTTGGAACT